ATTAGCACGTTTTCGATCCTCATTAAAATATATATGACATAATAGATGATATATCGCCCAAATTAGCTGTAATTTTGTGTGACTGCTTATGCAATAAATTAATTTTTACACATAAGAAATCGATTCCTAAAAAATATTTTGAATTTTTTCCTTACAACATTTAGCAAAATAAGATTTAGTAGAATAACATTTACTGATATAAATATTTACTCCAAAGGGACAGGCTCTCTGATACCACTGGATTCTGAACAAAATATATTTATATAACGTTACTTGGGTCTTAATATTAATTATTGAGTGATCAGGTATGCATTATCCCAATGTCTTTTGTAAATAGTGAGATCTTCAATGCACATTCTGCATATTTTTACTAACGAACATAGAATTTTGTCATAAAGTGCCTTGCATATTTTCTCCTATTTCTTCTCCAAAATGGATGTGAGTGTAAATGTGAGAAAATAGTGACATTTAAAAGGGTGGTATAGGTAATTTTTAACTTTTTGTCATTTATTTTGTTAGCATTATCTCAGTATATTAATATTATTTTATATTCTAAACTAACTACATAAATATGTCTACTGTAATATATAATAAGATTTATAAATTCTTAATAACTGTTGAGGAAAGCCAAATAAATGCTACGTCTGTTATTTATCTTGAAATGAAAAAAAACTGCTGGGTTTCTCAAACAGAGTTAAAATTAATTGTAGAATGAGCTGTGGGATCTGTTAGCAATGTATTTATGAAAGGTTCTTTTCGTCAATTAAAAATTTTCTGAATCCTACCACAGGTTAGTTAAGATTTATGCAAACATTTTAGCTTTTTATTATTATTTAATGATACTATGTGATCGTTTACTAAAGTAAACCTGAATAAACAAGTTGTTTTTTGGTTTGTTGCTTATGTTCAACCTACCCATTCAGCTCGCTTGTCAGTAAATATTTACACGTAATAGAGGGGTATATATGCTATAATCTGTTATACAGTTTTGTAATTCATCCTACCAACCTATTATGTGAAAAGGTTATTGCCATGTCGAGAGGTGTGTTAAGATATAAGTTATTATATTGCTTTGTTAATATCACACGAAGTTTCATCTGTGTAATGGCTATACAAAGATGATAACTTCGCATATGCATTGATGATTGTATTATTTTTATGATGAGAACTTCTTTTTATTTCTGAAATCTAACACAATACATTTTTTAGTTTGACATTGGCTTTGAAGGTGTTTGTACCTTATACGACATGGGATAATTAAAACAGATAAAGAAATTCCTTTTAGTTCAGATCAGATTGAAGATAATATAAATGATCTGAAAGAAAAGCTTAAAAAAGACACTTCGCTTCTCTATTAACAATTATATTCTAAAGTAAATGCTATATCTATTTAAAGCTTAACCTGAAAGAATCCTTTGGCCAGCTGAGTTATTAGCGATCAATCAGAAGTCATCAAGCAGTTGTCATCAAATCTAAAAAAGACATTTAAGGTAGGTAACTTGTTGAAAGTTCTTTGAAAATAAATATAACATATTTTTTATATTGGAAACCTGCTCAGCAAATGTTGCCTGCTCCTATGATGATAGTTAAAGAAATGTATAAAAATTTCGTAACAAGTTTTATCGATCATAACATTTAGAATACAATACTAGATAAACTAATTCACAATGGGTCCTGGAAAGAATCAAAAGAAAAATTGCAGATGTTATAAAAGAAGTTTTAATTCTTCTAGAAGATATTTGAATTAACCCAGCTTTTAATTCTAAATTTGCGAAATCGCTAAATGAAGAAACTTATCAATCAACAGTTATTCTATTATCTATTCGAGCAACATTAAAAAATCTTCCTTTTAGACTATCCTCATTTATCAGTACTTCAAAATGACAGAGTATTACTAGTGCGGATAGGAAAGATGAAGGGCAGGTGGGAAAACAACCAGATATTATGTATATAGTAAAATATTTAGATGTTTTCTTTAAGCTTATGTATGTTAAATATTCGCGATTATACTATAGTCAATAGAAAAAAATAGATGATGAGATAAAGCTATGGAGAGAAAGTAACAATGGAATGTTCTGGGTTCGCAAAGTCCTTAAACTGAAGAAAGATCAATTTGGAATAATTGGGATACAAGTAGCTGGAAATATGTTGCATCTAAATGTACTTATTAGAGATAAAGCAAACGTTTATAAATATTTTCATTTACAATCAGCTGAAATTACTATGCGATTATCAGATATAGACGTTGTAACTAAATTTGTGAAAACCCTTTTACTTTTATGAAACATATTAATTACAAATTTGTTCCTACTATATCATGTATCTATTTCCATATCAAAAAGACAAAAAGAAGATAATACTACAGTTTCTACTCTAATGCGAGATGATTAGAGTTTCTTTTTTTTGTAATTTATATTATGTATCATTATTTTTGTATCAAAGCATCAGATAATAAAATTTTTTTGACAAATTTAAAATTTCTTGGCAAAACTTCGTGAACTAAGTTCACAAAGTGAAATCACATGAATTTTTTTTATTTTGAATATAAATATATAGTGTATAAAATTATTTTTGAAAATGGCATCTGAGACTGACTTACTTAGGCAAGAAAATGTCAGACTTATAGCTGAGAATGCTGAGTTTAAGGTCAAGTATGATGAGGCCAAAGATGAGATTACAAAACTAAGGGCTGAGCTTAGGAATAGAATCGAGAAATTGGAAAAAGTTAGAATAGATACTGCCGTTGAAAATACTAAACGTGATGCTGAAAATATCAGGCATGATGCTGAGAATGTTGAGCTTAAGGCTAGGGTTGCAAAGTTGAAAGAAGATTTTAGACATCTGCGAAAGGATTTCTCTTTCAAAAAACCTGCTAACATGTCTAATTCCATAGTAGCGAATAAAACAGTACTTGCTAATTCGAAGTCATCAGAAGAAAAGGTCATAGACTCTTTTCTGAATGAGGTGAATAAGAAAATAGTTAGTGATAAAATTAGGCAGAAGAAGTTTGCGAAAGTGAAAACCATTTCCTCTGAAAAGGATAAGCAGATTTCAGTTAACAAAAGGATGCTTCGTAAGGAAAATCAAAAAAACAAAGGAAAAATTCATTCAGAAAGTGATAGAGGAGGCGGACACTAAAATGACCCTGAATTATTTGATGCCTTTAATATCTTCCCAAAGAGAATCAGATTCAAGCGCTAATATTATAGAAATGAGAATGCTAACCCTTTCTCTTTTGTATAAAACACTTTGTGATGCCATAACCCTTGCTGATCATGCGATCCAAAAAGTTATCTTTTGTTACTGCCAATTTGAGGAGACTCTTATTTAGAGGAGAGGTAAGATTGTATCTAAAAAACATGTTGATCTGGAGTCTAATACAGTCAGTAGAATTCTAAATATAGAAGTTAAAGCTCAGCTTCCTGTAGTTACTTCTGATGCATTTTTACGGAAAAGAATTGAACAGGCTAAGAAGCTCTATACATTTTTTAATGCAATAGGTATGGATAAAATAAATTGAATTCATTTCTTCTCTACTGATTCTATCTCAAAAATGACATATGAAGACATCCAGTATATTATAGACAATATATCCTTTAATTATAGCATTCATATGGAGCCACAACTTCGTGAACTGAATTCACAAAGTGATAAGAAAAATTCTGACTTATCACATATCACTAGTTTAGTTACGCCTACTGAATCTCAAATTCCCAATGAATCTGCCTCAAAAAAAATTGATACCAAGGTGGTATTACCTATTTCTCAACCCGAGAGTCTAATTTATGACTGCACCTATTTTTGCAAAAAGATATTGGATTAATATCCTAATTTAAATATAAAATGTAGTAGTAAAAATTTCGATTATTATAAGATTACTGATAAGATATCATACTGGGATTACATCTGCCCATTATGTAAATTAAGTCATGATGAAGAAGAAATAGAAGATGAGTATAAAGCCAGATCTTACTTTATTAAATATGAACAGCGTGAAATTAAGATAATTGCATAGTCCCATTATTTACAATACTATATTTGTGTTTCTCTTGAGAAACTATTTTTTTACAGGGCTAATTCATGTTAACTATTACCAAATTAAATTAACTTACATTTATATAAAAAGGAAAATGACTATGTCTGATAAAATACTAACTGCTGAATATCTGGATTGGCATGCCAAATTAAGTGGATTACCAAGTATTTTGTCAGATAAGTTTCATTCCAAATTATACAAAAGATATAAAAAAGAAACTGGAAATGAGCTGTAGCAACTAACAGAAATACATGAATCGAAAGTTATAAATTCAAAGCCAGAAAAAGGGCCCATCACCTTCGAAGCTAAACCTGATCCAGAATTAATTATCAAATCAGTCTTAGAACACTTCCCATACTTGAAATTCTGAAATAGTTTTAGGGGAATTGATAATTATAATTTTGCATCACTTCAGCCGTGGAGCTCATCATGCCCTATTTACAATGAAAAACATGGGAATTACGGATTATATGGCGAATGGTATAAAAATGAAATGGAATATTGTCTTACTTGTAACACTTCAAGTAATAAATTCAAGTTCGCGATTATAGCATAGAAACTTCATTATGTATAGCGGGTTAGTCTCACGCTTGTATTTATTTTTTTTATAGGTCACATGAATTAATTCACACACATCACTTAATATGTAAAAGTAGTGATGTCAGAGACTGTGACCAAGGGTCATAATCTCAAAGTTTAACCAATTCTACTGCATCTTTGTGACAGCAGAAAAATAGTGCATATCAATCAATCACTTTTTCCATGTACCTCTTATTAAGTTATTAATCAAGATCGTGATTTTAAAACGTTTTCTTAAAAAAAAATATAATTTGTTTTAGGACGTTAACTGTTAACCCCTTTTTATACATAAATATCTTCTCTGCACGAATACTTCAAAAAAAGAACATCAGATTGGAATATTATTAGATTCCTTAACGCATGTGAGCTGGAGTCATTTCAACAAATGATAGAATATTACCTTTGTTCTCTCGAGAGGATTAAGAGTACTGAGACAGGTCAAAGACGCGAAAAAGTGCAAATTCTCTTTGATAAGTATAAGGAGGTAGGTGTTAGATTTACTAGTTTTGCTAAAAATGTAAAGAATGGTATGGTAGATGATCTTCAGATTCTTCTATCATTTAAGTTTTCGGGTCGAGCTGTGAGCTAGTGTTGGGGCACAGGTGATCTTTGGGTTTGCCTGATATTTCAAGTCTTTGGGTTGAGCTAGCACTACATCAGTAAATTTAATAATGCAAAGTATTACGTAAACCTTACACTTCGTAATCTTATGTAAGATTACGAGCCCATCGAAAAACTTACGTATCATAGTACTTCGATATTTTTACGATGTGTAATATTTCGAACGTTTACGATATATAAACTT